CCAAAGTGTAGATCTATGCTATCCAAAATGTGGCTACTGAGCACTTGAGTTGGCTAGCCAGAATTGATATGTGCTGGAAGTATAAAAAATAAACTTGATTTCATAGACTAAGAATAAAAAATACGAATGTAAGAACATTTCATTAATAATTTTTCATGTTAGTTACATATTGAAATGATAATACTTGGGATATATTAGGTTAAGTAAAATATCCAATAAAATTAATTTCAGGACTTCCTTGGTAGTCCAGTGGTTAAGAATCCACCTGCTAATGCAGGGGACATGGGTTTGATCCCTGGTCTAGAAGATTCCACATGCTATGGGGCAACTAAGCTGTGCGCTGCAACTACTAGGCCACACTCAAGCTCACAAGCCGCAACTCCTAGCCTGTGTTCTAGAGCTCACGAGCCCCAACTGCTGAGCCTGAGTGGTCAAACTACTAAAGTCAGTGTGCCTCAGAGCCTGTGCTCCACAGCAATAGAAGCCACCACAACGAGAAGCCTGCACACCACAACCAGAGAGTAGCCCCTCTCACTGCAGCTAAAGAAAGCCTGTGTGCAACAATGAAGGCCCAGTGCAGCCAAACATAAATTAAAACAATAAAATTTTTTTAAAATAAATTTCATTTGTTTTTATAAAGAATACATTTCTTCTTTATAAAAATACTTTTAATAAAGAATAAAAAGAAGTTACTCAAAGTTTTAAAGTTACATATGTGGCTTGCACACTTCTATTGGATGGGGTTGCTCTAGGCTATCTGGATCCTGAGTACATCTCTAATCTACCAAACTCTCTCATCTGATGTTCACAATGTCTCAGCCACACTGGCCATTGTCTTTTCTATTAGTTGATATGTTCTTCTTGCCTTGGCTGTTCCCTCTGCCTAGAACATTCTTCCTTTGGCTCCATCTTAGCTCAGTTTTTAGGATTCAGTTCCAGTGTTACCTTCCCTGACCATGTTATCTAAAATAGCTCTTACCCACTCTCTCAACCTTTATTATTCTCTATCATTTATTATTATTTCCTTTGGAGTACTTCCCACCCTATTCAAGATCTTATTTATTTAAATATCTTATTGATTGATTGATTGATTGCCTTCCTACCAGAATATAATGTTCAAAGGCCTTTGATTTTGTCTTCTTTACTGCTGAATTTCAGCCCCTAGAACAATGATGAGCACATGGTAGGACCTCAATAGACAGTTTAAGTGAATGAATGAAAGAAATTAGTCATGACCACACAAAAAGAGTTTGCTAATTCAGATGATCAAAATTTATAATCCAAATCCTATTTAAATGAGAAAATCTCAACTGTTTTTTCCCTAGGATTTAATCCCATAGGATTAATAATACTCAAGTCTGTTTGCCTCTCAAAAAATTATAGTAATAGCTTTCATCTGAGTTGTAATTTATAGTTTACCAAGCCTTCTAACATTCATAATTCACTTGATCTTCACAACAACTCTATAGGTAAATATAAAAAATATTTTTAATTTTTATCTTAAGAAGATACCAATCTTAAGATATGTATCTTCTTGAGATAAAAATTAAATAAGGAAACAGAGGTTCAGAGGTTTAAGACATTTACTCAAGGGAATAAGGATAGGGCCAAGGCTAAAACCTGACTTTTATTACTGTAAATCTAAGTGTTTCCCCCACCCCCAAAACTACACTGCCATTTTCTGAAAGTTAAAGCAGGTATTTGTTAATACACTTAGAAAAATTGTAAAGTCATATACAAATGTAAAGTGAATTAAAACTCTTTTCAAAAGACAGTTCTAAGTAACAAATGGCTTTTCAACTGTTCACTGCATGGGTGATAACCACTGCTTGATGCAGCCCACTGAACCTTTTTCTATGCTTCAGTGTCAACATTCATCTCCCAAACCCAGGGCCATTTGGAATATTGCCACACGTTACCATTTTAAACATGCGATGTCCTTCAGTTTACATTTGCAGATTTCAGTGAAATAGCATCTTCCAATGAAGTCTACTGCACTAGATGGAAAAGGTTAGAGACAGTCAAATGTACTTTTAAAAGAATGTTGTGAAAAACACATAAAGTAAAATTTGCTATTTTAACCATTTTTAAGTGGCAGTTCATAAGTGTTAAGTGTATTCACATTTTCTTTGTGCAACAAAACTACAAGCTTTTTCATCTTGCAAAACTGAATGTCTATGCCAATTAAATAACAATTCCTCATTTCCCTCTTCCCCCAGAACCTGGCCACCACCATTCTACTTTGTTTCTACGAATCTGACTACTTTAGATATCACAGATAAGTGGAATAATACAGTATTTGTCTTTTTGTGACTGACTTATTTTTCTTAGCATAACATCTTCAAGGTCCATCCATGTTGTAGCATGTAAGAGGCAGGATATCCTTCCTTTTAAAGGATGGATAATATTTCATTTATGCATATATCACATTTTGTTTATTCATTCATTGTTGTACATTTGGACTGCTTCAACCTCTTGATTATTGCGAACAATAAGAACTTGAGTGTGCAGATGTTTCTTCTAGATCTTGCACTAAATTCTTTTGGATATATACTCAGAAATGGAATTGTTTGATCATATGGTAAATCTACTTTCAAGTTTTTGAGGAATTGCCATGTTATTTTCCCTGTAGTGGCATCATTTCACGTTCCTACCAACAGTGCACTAGGGTTCCAATTTTTCCATACCCTTGCCACAATATGTACTTTGGATTGTGATTTAGCATGAATTTTATAGACTCAAAGAGCTGAAAGGGACACTAAGAGAAATTGTAAGAGAACTATAATATTTGCAAGGGTAAATAAACATTTGTGAGCTCACTATAAATATGACAAACCTTCCATTCAAAAAATCTTATGCATTCATTAGTTCACACACATCTTAGTACATTAATCCAATACCATTGTAAGCCCTACATGGAAGAGTAGTAAAGAGGAAAGACTTGGTCATATTGACAATTCACATATGTGAGCCCTCCTTATAACTATTCTATACTTACCATAGCTAGTGCAAAGACAAATGGGTTAATATTTAAAACTATTGTTTCTGTATGTGTTACTGAAAAGAAAAAGCAAAAAATCACTGAAATTTGCAATAGTAGGGTCCAGATTTATTGTCTAGTGCTTTTTCTTTTTGCAATACATACACACACAGACAGAGGTAGTTATAATAATCCATTTATCTTTACACTAAATGAGGGCCTTTGGCTTTGCCATTATGCATGACTACACTCAAACCAATGCAGATAAGATTTCAAGGGAGGAAAGTTCACAGCTTTGAGTATATTTAATTTTTTAAAAAGTTTCTATCATCATCATGAAATTCATTTTAAAGTATTCTGTTTATTGGTGTGCTTCGTCTGGCTCTGTGTCCACAGAAGAGCTGTCCATGTATATTTTGGATAATTTCTCTTTTGCTTTTGTGACAAAGTTTCAATAAAGAGTAAAATCTTGAAAACCATGTAAAGGCACATACATGTTTACTATAGAAAGTACCTTTTTGAGTTAGAAAAAAGTATATTTAAATCAAATAAAGTGGCTATTTTTCTAAATAGGAAGCAAATTCTTAAAGATTCTACACCCAAAAGTGGGTAGTGGCTGAAAACAGAATTTAAAAGGATTTAAGTATGCAAACAAATGCATGATATCTAAAGCAGGGCTTATGGGAGACACAGATTATTTTAGGGCTGTCTCTATTTTATCCCATAAAGATCTGTATGTCTTGCTCATTCAGAATGAGGGAGATCACAAGGAAAGAGTATTGAATTAGGTGGACAACTGATCTGATTCAGCATGCCCACTGCCAAAAAAAAAAAAAAAAAGGTAGAAAACTAGGAGATGTTTTTTGGAGTAAAAGTTTATGAATAAAAACAAAAAACTTAAATGATCTCTCTTCTCCAGCAGTACTGAGAATCTTGCTTAAATTACCTAGCCTCTCAGTCATGGACTTGATCCAGTGAGAGGATGGCTGGGTAGGGCCAGGGATTCAACTTAAGGGATCACATGACTATAATTGAACTAGAAGCATTACATCAGGACTGACCACTCTGGTTAAACCACAGACTTTGTCCAGACAGTCTGCCCCCTTAGTTAAACTCCAAGGGGATCATCAGACTGTTGGGAGTGGCTGGAACACCAAAATGATAACCTCCCTGTTGACTGCGAGAGGTTCAAGCCATACACTTTTCCCATTTAGTTAAAGGCTACCGTTGCCCGCCACTAGCATGACTTACTTGGTAGGAGGGATGTCTGTAGAGAAAAGGTCTATTTCAGTGTCAGCCAGCAAAACAGCCTTCATTCCCCTAGAGCTGAGCACTTGTTTACAGAATCTGCAACACAGAATGGACACGCGCCGGTCCTTGAAAGTACAGCTGCTGGTAGACATGGCGTCTCGGAAGGATGAGGTGTGGGATTTTGGAGCAATACCCTCCCTAGTTTGATTCCCCCAGGCTAAAAATCAAATTGTGAGGCCTCGAGCTTTTCTAAGCCCGAAACTTGAGAAGGATATGAGTTCTTTTCTGTTTTTCCGTTCGAGGGTAAAAGTAATATTTATTGAGTAGGAACAGAGAAGCAACAATCTTGGCTTTCTCTTTTCGGGGGGAAGGGAGAGGAGTTTGAAGTGAGGAGCAGGCAAACTGCAAGGTGTGTCGGGGAACTTCTCTACAGTTTTCCTGTCCTCCAATTTGAAGGATCCTCTGTTCTTTAGTTCCTTTTGCAATTCCCGTAGCTTCTGCTGACAGGCTCTTTTATCCGCAGGTTCCTGCTCAAGCCCCCTAGCTCGGAGAGCTCAGATTCCTCTCTCCCCCGGATACGGGGCTGAGGCTCCCTACTCACGTCTCCTCTGTGGAAATCTTTCTCCTCTCCTCAGGATTCAGAAACCCCCTCAGTTTCTCCCACAGGCGAGCCTGGGTATCCCTTAAGCCTCCCGCGACCCTCCTCGTCTCTGCCAGTTCGCGAGACCCCGGCTTCACTTCTTTCCTGCCACAGCCCCCGGCCCTCAGCATGCGGGCTCTCGTGTCGCTCCTCCTGCGTCTCCCTCCCCTCAGCTTTCCCTCGTGGCTCCCGCCGATCCCTCAAGTCTTTCCCGAGCGGCCGCTCCAGAGCGCAGGGGGCTGTCGCCGGGGCGGGGCAGAGGTCGCTTTGCGGGCTCGGTCGGCGTTGGGGTGGGGGGGTCTCTGCCACCGTACGCGTCGCTTTTTGCTCGCTCTTCCGCTCTCGGCCTTTCTAGCCCGCTGTCAGTTTGAATCGGCCGGCGCCGTGCACCGATTGGGAGAACTCGCGTTCGACCACGTCCCGCATTGGAAGGCTCGGGAGCCGGCCTCTGAGGCGATCTCAGTGGCCAGGAACGCCGACGCCCCGCCCCAGTAACGGGCCTAGAGAAAACTCCGCTTGCTAGTTGGCAGAGCTCGGCCCCGCCTCCGATCTCATTGGCCCGCTCGCTAGGATTGGGCGGGCCCGCCCCTCGCCCCCTTGAGAGAACAAGGCTCGCCCACCGCGCTTCTCATTGGCAGACGTTCCACAGGCCCCGCCGCACTCTACTCTGCATTGGCTAGAATTCTCCGCAACGCTCCGCCTCTCTTCCACTGGTCCAATCGGCCGCGCCTCCCCTCAGAAGTGTGTGTTTGGCTGTTGGTTCTCTTTTAATCCCGCCCTTGCATTTTACTGTGGGGCTCGGCCGCCCGGGGAGGAGTTTAACTCTGTGACCACGCCTCGACGGTGCTAGTCACACCTCCAGGGTTTCGCCAGCTCCTCCTCCTCATTCCTGGCCTCTCGGGATCAGCTGTTCCTATTGGCTGCGGGCCCCATCGGTCGATAGAAAGCGGGCGCTGATTGGCAGGAGGGTGGGCCCTTGCTTCCCGGCGGGGTCCTGTGGAGTTGGCAGAGGCTCCTCGGGGGACTAGGGGGACCGATCTGCGTAGAAGCGGGTGGCAGGGACGAAAGGGGAGGAGAGCTCCGAGTGGGAAGCGGAGCCGGGGGCGCAGGACCCGTCGCGTCAGAGCCAGGTAAAGGCTCCGTCCCTCTCCCTTTTCTTCTCGCCCGCCGCGGGACTGGAGCCCGGACTGGACAGACCGGGCGGCAGAGGCGGGAAGGAGAGGGCGCGGATGCGGCTCTCGGCATCGCCCTCGCGTTGCCTCCCGGAACCCCTCAGCCCCCCCTCCCTCCGGACCCACTCCCCATCTCCCGGTGCAGCCCACACTGCTTCTTTAGGGCTGCGTCTCCGCCCTTCGCCGTCCTGCCCGGGACCGTGCCTTGGCTCTCGAGCCGCGGCGCCGTCGGCTCCCAGCCCCCTCCCTCAAGCCCCCTGCACACGGGCAGCCTCCGTGCACCTTTGGGCAGCCGTCGTTGGCATCATCCGTGACCAACGACTGCCCTCTGCCTCCGTCTCCAAGCCCTGGCAGAGAGCCCAGTCACAGCCCTGGACCCAGAAAGACGGGTGTTCCGCGCTGTTTCCGGGGCTCTTCTCCGGCCTCAGCCCCCCGGCCCGCCCGGAACGGGCCCCTCTTCACGCACTCGCCTTCTCGGACCTGCCTCTGCGAAGCCAGAGTTGCTAACATCGTAGCGCCGCCGGTACCACTGCGGCCCACGATAGTCTCTTAACTACCCCCTCACCCCCAAGGTAGCCCTTCCCCTGCCCGCTCCCCGCCTATCAAGCATGTGCAGCAGCTCCACTCATCCCCCGTTCGCGTGCGGTCTTCGGACCCCACCTCTCACACCCCTCCTCCCCCTGCTTCCTGCCCGTCTGAAGCACCGCGCCGCCGCTCCGGCTCCCTGCTCCTCCCTCGCTGCGGCCCTTTCTCCGGGCGCGGGAAGTGGGAGACTCCCGGCGCGGAAAGGGAAAGGAGCAGCCAAAGAGGGAGGGTCGCCGCCGCGGCGCGTCCCGGAGAGAAACGCGCGGCTCTGCACTCGCGTCCTCGTCTCTCCCGCCTCCTGGGCCTGGGTCCGAGCGGACTCTCCCCGGGGACCTCCTGGGGCCAGGAGTCGGGGCCGCGAACCTTAAAGACCTCCCCCCGCCCCCACCCCCCAGCCTGGGATTGGGTGCGGTGTCTGGGATCTCTGAGCTCGGGTGATCAATTGGGGGTGGCATTTAGAGTCGCTGTGGTCCCTGACTTGGGAGAGGCGGTGGCTGCCTTCCACACTCCCCGCCCCCGCCCTGCCTTCCCGGTTTTCCCGACTCCGACCCTCGCCTCTAACCCGTTTCCTGCTTCTGCCGACCACATTGTTTTCCTGGATGTGTCCCACACCGAGCAGCCTTTTTTTTTTTTTCCTGTAGATCACTTCCCCGCCCCCCCCCGACACTCCCCCCCGCCCCAACCCAACATTTTGCTGCCAAGAGAAGCTAGTAACCAAAACAAAACAGCTGGCAGGAGGGGCGGAGGGAAAGAAAAGTTGTGCCCGGGTGACTTGTCCCTTCCCGGCTTTGATCCCCTTTGAAGTCCAGGCAGTTGCCCCCGCCCGGGGTCGGGGGCCGCGTCGGAGGCAGGGCCGGGAGGGTTCCCTCCGGCTGCCGCTGCCCAACGTTGGCAAGGCTCGGGAGGCCACCGAGGTGTCGCAGTCCCCGCCCGGAATCCCGCGTTCCCGCCGCAGTCCCCACCCCAGGCCCGTGAAGGCCGCTGCTCCAAAGTGTTTTCTTTTAGCCTTAAAACAAAATCCGGAGGGAGCTTCCTTCCTCCCCACCTCGCTGCGCAGGGCTCTGCGGGCCGGGCAGCGTTTGGCTGAGATGAATGGGCCCAGGCCAGGCTGGGAGCGGCGTCCCTTACCCCACCCCCGCAGCGATTAGGATCTGCACTGGGGCTGATAGCCCCCTCCCCTTTTCCCTGCATTTACAGGCAAGTGAACCGGAGCAAACGACTTCCGATCCAGTCTGCGCTGCTGCGACTCCCGTTTGGGATTTGATTTGCAGCATCTTCGAGCCTGTGCAACAAAAACCCGCGAAACACGCCCAGCCCTCCCCCGGCACCCCGATACGCACCCACTCTCTCCCGGGGACCCAGCTGGGCGAGTCCACACCGCCGCACCCTCACACCATGTTGTGCGGAAGGACTTCCACTCCCTGCCTGTGTCGTTGATGTCAGACCCCAGGCCAGCCTCCGGGCGCTGCAGTTCTCCCGGCTAATGCTGAGGCTGCGGCTTGGGCTCTAGCACAGGAACCAGCCGCCGCCGCGCCCGGCCCCAGCGCCCACCGCCTGCATGTGCCCGCCGTAGCCGCCTGCCCAGCCCGCAGCCCGCGCTCCCCGGAGCGCTGGAGACCACCGCGGGGGGCCCCTTCTGCCCTCTGGAGAAACGGTCTTGGAGGTATTGATTTCGGCGGTTGGATTTTTCCCGTGGATCTATCAATTCACAATTCGAATTTGGAAGAAAGAAGGAAAACATGACGTCTCCAGCCAAATTCAAAAAGGATAAGGAGATCATAGCAGAGTACGATACTCAGGTCAAAGGTAAGGGCTTTGAAAAATAGCATAATGCATCTTCTCTGTAGACCATGGAGACATACATTTCCCTAATTTGCAGGGTGTTCATTTCTTTGGGTGGAGCAGGTGGGGGCAGGCTGACCCTAGAAGTGGTTTCGTAGGTGGGTCTGCGCCTCCGAAGGATTGTCCGTGGCAGGAGCCACAGGCTCTGGAAAGGCATTTTCAGAGTGGACTTTACAGTTGTCTGTAGGCCTGGTCATTATTTTGGTAGTCTTTTTCCCCCGGGCTAAATAGGATAGGGGGAGGGGCAGGAGGTTCTTGGAGAAAAAAGGCGGCAATTCGCCTCTGGGTGCCTGGGTCAGGTTTCCTTGAAGGACAGCTGAAATCTGACAGGTGTTTGGGGATTTATCTCAGAGGTTGAAGAGGCATCCAGGCAGAGAAAGGCAACCTTGAGAAGGTGTGACATTTGGAGAGCCCTGGGAGAGGGTGGGTTTTTTTTCCTGATGCACTATATCCAAACATGGTATTTGCTATGCCATCAGGCCCAGAAAGTCTGTAGCCACCTTGGGTGCACCTTGTACCTGTCTGGTCTCTGCTTGTCTGCATTCTGTCTGAGATCCGAGAACAGAAAGAATAAGGTCACTCACACCCAGTCTCCACCTTCACCTAAACCTGAATGGAGTTGGGATGTTGCTGGGTGGTGCTGATTCCGGAGAATGGGAAGACATAATTGTTTAACCCTTCTGTGCTGTTGTCTTCCGCTCCAGAAGACGCGTGTTGAAAGGCCCTCATATCTCTCTGCAGAATTATGAGGGGTAAAGCAAAATGTGGACCCAGAGAAAACAAGTGACCTGTCGGCACATCTTTTCCACTGCCTGACTTGGCGCATGAACCAAAACCCCTTCCCAGATAGCCTTTTTTAACCAGCAATACCCATAGAAGGGGTTCCTGCCCGTTACAGAGCCCCGCTTATGGTTGTATAAGGCACTGTCCCTTCCTGGCCAGACACTAGAAAGAGCTGTGTGGCTCTAGCCCACTGAGACCTCAGCTGGGGAGTGGGAGAGGTGGGTGGCCTTGAATGTTACACCACATGGTTGGAGCTCTGGGTTTTCCTTTGTTTCAGAGTGCAGAGGGAGGGGCCCCTCCTTCTTTGCCTGCGCTAATGCAAGGAGACCTTTTCCTATCCTAGAGGACTTGGAAAAGGCCATGCCTCCCCTCTTAGGGTTGCTGGGGGTGTGAGTAGGGCAAGAGTTTGAAATGGGCAGCTGCTTTATCTCTTGGAAGGTTGGACGGTAGTTTGAGGTCCACGTTGTGCCTGTGGGATCTTTTTAATGTCATCAGCTTGGTCCATGCTGGAGTACTCTGAGGGACTTTCTATCCACTGGGCTGCAAAGAACTGGGGGAGCTGACTGATGGATAGCTTCAGTTGGGCTGGGACTGGGAGAGGTGTGGCTGTGAGGTATAATTGAGGTCTTGGCCTCTTGTCACTGTTCATAATCCCGGCTTATTTCTGTAAACAATAGGCTACTGGCCTCAGTGTCCTGTCCAGATGTACTGCAGTTTGCTGTTGGAATCCCCCCTGCAGTTTTAACCAGATATGTCATTCTTTTTTTTTTTTAAATACCTTCTATTCTTAACTGTTGCCATAGGGAGGAGTGTTAATAACTTTGACTTTCCCAGATTTCTCTCCAGAAGCATGCCATTTGACTCAGGTGCAAAGTGATTTCACACGTTTATTTTTTGGAAGGTTCAGGACCAATAGGTGTTGAATTGTATCTGCTGATTCTCTATTGGTGAAGGATTTCTCACAAGTGTCTCAAAATTAAACACTTCGTATATTTACAAACATTGCTCTTTGAGATGATGTAATGCAGTTGACTATTTGGGGTTTCTCTTCAGCCTTGCCACAGGCAGGAGACTGGTATTTTTTCATTGACACTATTCAGCATCATAGAATTTTATAGGTGGTTGAGCATGATGTCTTACTCAGAGAATGTGCCCGATGAATGCTTATGAGACTGATTTGAATGGTTTAGTCCCTCATTTATAGCTGAGGTAAGTGTAGAGAAATTAAGAGGCCTGTCCAAGGTCACACAGCTAGGTGGTAGTAGATCTGAAACTAGAAGCAGGTTATCGACTCCCAATTATCTGTTCTATTCTATTCATATTTACTATGAAACGTCATTTGACCAGAGTAGGGTCAATGTATCATTGTTCATATCAGAGTAGGGTCAATTAAAAAGCAAAATGTATCAATGGATAATAGTAGAAATAGTGATAATAATAGATTATATTTTGTGTGGTCGTTGTGTTCCAACCTGTCCCAAGTGCTTTTTAAGAATTGTCTCACTTGATCTTCACTTAAAACCTGGAGGTGAATCTTACTTCGTTCTCTATTCACTGCATGAAGAAACTGAGGCTTAGAGAGGATAAAGAAGTCCTTCCAAGGTCACATAGCCAAACCACAGCAGCGGGACTCCACTTCTTTATTCATCAGCTAGTTATTGAGTGCCTTGAATGGGTTCTGGGCGCTGTGAACAAGACAAAGTCCTCTCTCTCTTGAAGCTTTCAAACTAGAGTCCGTGCTTCCCGTGGAAGATCTTGGAGATCTGTGTTCTCCATAGAACTTGGAGACAGAGGACCTGGGTTTTGGGTTGGCTCTGCTCCCCTGCTAACTGGAAGCCCTTGGTCAGATTTATGATGTTTCAGCTTTTTATGTGTTGTGTGGGACTCATTGTGCTGCCAGTCTTACTTCTCTTATGGATGCCAGGATAAAAAAGAAAATTAGTTTTCTGGTCTGATGGTTAAGAGCGCAAGTTTTTGAGTCAAACGGATCCAGGTTTAAATCTCAGTGCTGTCACTTGCTTGCCTCACTCCTTGGGCAAGTTACCTGACTTGTCCAAGCCTCAGGATACTGACTTGAAAAACAGGCAGCATAATACATGTTTCCTAGGTGGTTGTGAGCATTCAGTGACATCGTGTATCAAAAATCATTGAACACAGTATCTGGCAGTTGTAAATGCTCAGTAATAGTCAACTGAAAGTGTTAGTTGCTCAATCATAGCCAACTCTTTGTGACCCCATGGACTATAGCCCACCAGGCTCCTCTGTCCGTGGGATTTTGCAGGCAAGAATACTGGAGTGGGTTGCCGTTCTCTTCTCCAGGGGATCTTCCGGACCCAGGAATTGAACCTGCATTACAGGCAGATTTTTTACCATCTGAGCCACCAGAAACAGTAAGGTCTGCTTAATTGGGATGAACATTCAGTCCGCATTGCCTTTTCACTCCCAAAGTGCCAGTTGTAATGATAAGAAAGGAGTCTAGGAATAAAACCTGGGTTCTGGTTTAAGTTCCTCCAGTAGTAATGAAAAATATCTTGGTTCGGTTTCTTAATAAGAACTGTTTCTCATTCTGAAAAGTGAACAGGAAAACTGTCTAACTGTTGGTCACTGTTGTTCAGTGTATCTCTGACCAGAGTCCTGAGTCTTGCTTTTCAGTCAGAATGGTTTAAATCAAGAGGACCCCTAATGGACTTTGGGGAACCCTGCCTGTCTGTGGCTTTGGCTCCCTTTAAACCACCTGCTTGCATGTGCCCTAAAGGACTTCTGAGACTACAGCCCCAACCCTACCCCAGTGTGGTTTTATGAGGGGCGTGCCTCCTTAGTCAGCCTGCCTTGGAGCTGCCTTCTTAAAAACCATCATTGTTTCTGCTTTGTGGGTGTTCAGATTCCTTTGAAAGTTCATGCCTTTCAATCTCTAACTCGAAAGCAGTAATATTCTTAGTACTTGTACATGGCTCAATTTACAAAGCTCTTCATATACATTAACTCTGGAAATTCTTGACAGATTCATGGTTGTAACCCGAGGCTTTCTGGCCTCTGCTCTGTCAGCTTCTTTGGGGATTGGAGCAGCAAAAAGTGGTAAGGTGTGGGGCATAACCTTCACAAGAGGTGGTAATCTGGCTGGTATTTGGATGAGTTCACCTCATGGCAGACCCTCCCAGCTATTGTCCTGACCTTGTTCAAGGCTCCTTTCCTATACACTCTCCATACCTTGAGTTTTTACATCCCCCAGAAAGCTTGAGATGGACAGTTAATGCAAATATTCCAGGAGGAATCATCTGAAACAGAGTGGCACTGTGTGCTGAGCCGTCAAATTCTCTTTCTTGAGAACATTAGGGGTCTTGTCTTTTTTTTTTTTTTTTTTTTAATGTCTTAGAAGAACAGTGTGTGTGCCCCACAGAGCTGAGAAGTGAAGTTTTGTAATTTCCATCTGGAGCATTTTGATAGAAAAGCCTCAGGCCTTTGCCTGGAACAGTTTAACCCTTTCAGGACCCTTTCAGAGCAGATGAAATTTAAAACTCTAGACATATTGTGTGTGCACACACACTTGGGAATCTGGATTGCTGGTATTTAAACAAGCTTTTTCTCTGGGGAGGTGTGAGCGGTTCTTCTCTCCTGCCAACAAAGGTCTTCTCAGAAGCTTCTTTCCTCCCAGCCCCCATCTCTCAAGGGAGCTTTAAATATAATCAGTTTGTGAAAAGCTGCAGTAAAACATCTCATTGGAATCCCCAAGCAAATGCCATCATCTTCCTGCGAGATGATGGAAGGCACCTCTTCCCCTGCTCAGGGAAGATAGGACTGTGTGGTAAGGTGAGCTCCTGGAAGAAAACGAAGCTCTTGGAAAAAGTCTAGTTCTATACTCTGTATCTCCAAGTTAAAAGGCCCCGGAGGAAGGTGATGGGCAAGGAGCTGGGCCTGCTGTGTGCTGTGCAGAGCAGCAGTGGTTAGAAATGGGGTTCGTAAGGAGTCCTTAACTTTTCCAGTTTCAGGCATTCTCTAGAGGAATGGGAACAGAAGTTTCCTTTTGTGAACCCCATCTGGTAGTTATGTACCACACAGGTTGAAAGCCTGCACAAGCCCTGATCATTGCTCTGTTATGAAATTTACAGAGTCTGACTTGACCCTGCGATGTAGGGTCCACACCCTTTTAAAATCAGCAGGTGCCCAGCCCCTGGCTCATAAAC